CGTGCAGCAGGAAGCGGTCGGGCCCCGCCTGGCGCAGCACGTCCCGCAGCCGCGCCTCAGACAGCTCCACGTTGGCGCGCAGGTCCTGCAGGAACATGCGGCCGCCGTGGGCGCACAGCACCTTGGTGAGGAAGGAGCACACGGTGGGCTCCGCCATACTCCCGGCGCCGCCCGCCCAGCGCGGAACCCGACGCGGCCGGCTCCTCCCAGTCACGTCCACGGATGCAGGCCCGAGCCGAGACCCGCGGGGGAGGGCGGGCGGGGGCGCCCGGGGTGGGCGGCCCCGGCTAGGGGGCGCTGCTCTGCGCCCGCACCCTCAAGGGGCGCTGGGCCGGCCTGGCCTGTGCAGTCGGGGTCACGGCGTCCGAGCAAATGAGAGGACTGGGGTGCGGGGACGGGCTCAAAGAAGGCGAAATGGATCCTGTGGAGAGAGCAGGGCTGGGCGGCCTGAGGGGAGGACCCAGGAGGGAGACACTCGATGGAGCGTGGAGATGGCCCCAGCCTGAACTGGGATTTAGGATGAGAAAGTTGAGGTTTGGGGGCCCTCCCTGGTGGCGCAGCAGGTTAAAGCACGGCACTCAAGCTGGCCACAGCCGCAGCGGCTTTGCCCGGAGGTGACCCACATGGCCCGGCAGTCCGCTGCTGACCCGCCCGCTGCTCCCCTCAGCAGTGTACCTCATCAGTCTGCCTGTTCTGCTCCCCACTCTGTCTCTGGTGAATCTTCTCACCGCCCCTGCACCTCTGGCCTGCACCCCACTTCTGTATGCATAAATAAATAAAATAAAATTGAGATTTGGGGTGAAAAATAGGATTCAGGATGAAAACAAATGGAGGCGTGGCAGAGGGATTAAGGGGTAGACTCGCCTGAAAGGCTGTGAACTGACTCATCAACACCTTGACATTAACGGTGTTACACTGATATTTTGCATCTCTCCTATTAAATAAAAGGTTACTGAACTGTCATCTGTCTCTTTCATCTGTCTCTTTCACTTGTCTAGTGTAACTTTGAAAATAAATTACATTTGAAATTACATACCTGTATTTCAGCGGGACATTTATTGGTCAGTCATCCTTGTTGCCCAGCACCATGCTTTTTGTTGTTGTTTTAAAGGTTTGTTTATTTGTGCATACAGAACTGGGGTACAGGCCAGAGGGGCTGTGAGAGGATTCACCAGAGACAGAGGGGGGAGCAGAACACACAGACCTAGTGATATACACTGCTGAGGGGGACAGCGGGGAGACAGGAGAGGTCTGCTGTGTCATGTGGGTCACTCCCTGGTAGGGGATCAACTCGTGCTGTGGTGGCTGCAGACAGCTTCATAGTGCTGAGCTTTAACCCCTTGTGCCACCAGGAAGGGCCCAGATGTCCCTTTTTTATCATTCAACTCTGTGCTAACTTGTCCATACCAAGGATTTTCCTAACCCCCTAATTTAAAGTAACTTCCCAGTAACTGCATGGAAGTTATCACCAAAACAGGTGTATTACAGGAGAGCCCGTAAGATGGAAAGCTGACAAGATGGCTGTGAAGAAAGGGAACAGTGAGGGAGACTCACAGGAGAGCAGAGAACAGGACCTGGGAGAAGAAAGCTCAGACAAAGGGAAACACCTTTTCCATTTAGACAGGAGGAAAGGACATTTGTAGCTTCAGACTGAGACATGGAGGCCCTCCCCGGTTGTGCAAGGGGTTGTCTCAGCACTAGGAAGCTGTCAGCACCACTGCAGCATGAGTTCAGTTGGATTCCAGGCCAGGGAACTGACCCACACGATACAGCAGACCTCTCCTGTCTCACCTGCTGCTCCCCTCAGCAGTGGATTTCAGTGAATTCACCTATTGTGTTCCCGGCTCTGTCTCCCGTGAAACCTCTCAGCCCCCCCACATACACACACACACCTCTGGCCTGCCCCCCAGCTCTTATATGCCTAAATAAATAAATCTTAAAAGAAAAGAGTTGCATCATTAAAAAAAAAGGCAGAGACATAGAAAAGCCTCATTCAGTAGCTATTTTTGTGTTGCTGTGACGTTAAGTGTAACACAAAACCAAGAGCGAGTGGAGAGGGTTGCTGGAGGAGGCTGGAAAAGGCCCGCCGGAGCTGTTGGGGAAAAGCTGGCAAGATGGATGGGGGCACAGAGCAGCGGCCAGGAACTCAGGGTGGCATTAATTCAGACAGCTTTGCAATTCTCACTCAGAACAATGTTTAGAAACATAATTTGATTGATCCTGTCTTAGGTTTGCCAAATGGATGGGACATCAGGTCAAAGGTCTGAGTGATTGAAAGAGTGGGCTTGGCCAGATTAGGAAGTGAAAGAGAATGTAAACGAGGAAGATAACTGAAGGGTGGATCAGAGGCAGTAGGTTAGTTTCAGAAAGAGCCGTTTTAGAACCGTCATGACCAACAGCATTGGGACCATGGCTGTGTAGATGCTGGGAAGATGAATTCGATGAAGGCAGAGAGGGTGAGGAATAGTTTTGGTTCTGTGGCTTATTAGTCTTGAAAATGGACAGTTATCTGATCTTCCAGCACTGGTATCAATTCTGGAGTCAGAAGTGCATGAAACTGATATACGGGAATAAATGAGGTCATTCATGGGAAGGGGTGAACAAGAAAAAAGAAGATCCCAGAGCAGACTA